ATTAACGATATTATAGTGATATTAATATAATTGTTTCGAATGTTTAATTTTTATTTGAGCGTAAAAACGCATAAGTTTGAACCCTAATCTGGTAATTAATAAGTTCGATATCGTATCTTCCTATTAAAGTAATTTTTTAATATATACTATTTAATTTTATTTGAATACATTGTTCAAATATATATCTTCCAAGCGAAAGGTAGATTATTTCAATATAATCAATAATTTAATTAACGATATTATAGTGATATTAATATAATTGTTTCGAATATTCAATTTTTATTTGAATGCAGAAAAACTTATATTATACATATGTGATTTCAGGATTTTCATTATTCAAATAAAAAAACTCTCTGAAAATTATCTCTAATCTGGTAATTAATAAGTTCGATATTATATCTTCCTATTAAAGTAATTTTTTAATTTAAACAATATTAATTATTAATATAATATTTATAAAAGATGATATATTTCCTAAGTTTTTGTAAAATCAATTTTCAGTTATTCGCATTCATCATTTCATATAACCACCTTTAAATCTTCTAAAATATTTAAACAATTGTTTAAAATAGATAAAGAGAAGCATTTACCTAAAGCCGAAAGTAGTAAAATAGCTAAGAAGAAAACTAAGAAGAGATCATATAAACATAAAAAAAAAAATGTAAGATTTATATAAGCTGATATAGTAATTTATTAATTATTAACTTAATATATAATATTTTTTTAGTAATTGAGAAGTTTATTACCAAGGCGATTGCAGGAGCAATCACTATACTCAAAAGTAAAGAAAAAGGGCTTGAACTATCAAGCTCTAGCTCTAGTAGTGCTAGCACTACTAGTAGTGAAGATAATAGAGAGCGATCAAATAGTGAAAGCAGTGGAAGTCATTCTGGCAGCAGTGTCCACTCTACTAGCAGCAGCAGCAGCAGTCATAGTAGCAGCAGCGATAATCATAGACCACCAAGACAACTAACTTAGGAGCAAACAACCCACCTTCGTGTAAATATATTTATTATCTAACTCTGTTATTTTTTAATAGATTATTATTATAATTATAATTATTATTATTATTATTATTATTATTATTATTATTATTATTATTATTATTATTATTATAAGACAAAATTAAAGTATTAATAGAGGGGATAAATTGTTCTCTTTAAAACCGGATCCTCTAATCAAATAGTCTGATCAGTTGAAGGCCATAAGATCAAAATTAATTCTGGCATTAATTAAAAATTTATCTGAGTATAAGCAACATTCTGGTGCGATTGAGAGGATTCTAAAGTAGCATCATAAGATGCAGAAGCGTACTGTGCAAATAAACGCTGACCCTGAATTACAGCTGCATAATCGCATCAGAATAGTGCGAAATAGTAAGATTAATGAGGTAAGAATAATATAATATTGACTTTATATAAATTATTTTTAAATTATTCATCGAAAGTTATTAACTATTTATAAATCACAAATAATATAATATTGACTTTATGTAAATTATTTTTAAATCAATTCACCGAAAGTTATTAACTATTTATAAGTCACATACCAATATCATATAGAGTAAGGGTTGGCATACAAAAATTTTGAATATTTCTAATTTATCTTTTAAGTTCGGATTATCTTTATAGAGACTGTCATGCAATATTATCTGGTGTTGTATCAGCATATGATATATAATAAAATAACTTTCAGGAATTAAACACTATAATAATTAATTTTTTTTTTTTATGAAATTAGAAGAGGAAAAGAAGAAAAAGGGCATTGACTTTTTTAATTAAGTCAGAAAATAAAAAAATTTTAAAATACTCACGTGACAACTTGGAGTTATTGACAAAAAGCAAAAGAGGAAACACATATTATTCTGCTGAAGAATGGGTGAAAGATGAAGATGCGACATTAAGAGATAGGGAGAAGCAGAAAAAATTAGTGTGTATGGACAAATAGTGGTATGGGCTACATATAAGTATATGTATTATTATCAATATATACTAGAATAAAATTAGCCAGTATTATGTATAATACTAATTAATTTTATCATAGTATGCACATAAGCAAACAATATACATATATATATTAATAATGTATTACCCTAATATATTATTTAGTTAAAAAGGCTTTTTTATAAATGAATAAATCCGTTTGTAAAACAATCTAAAAATAAATGGATATTCAAACATTACTATGAAGATCACATAGATAAAGAAGAAACACCGCCCCCAGATTGCCCTAGTTAGGCACTATCATCTGAAGCAATAGAACGGTATAATATTACTGCACCAGAATTTGATGCTGACTTTTCAAGTGGAGAAGAAGACCCAAGAAAAAAGAAAAAAATAAAAACAAGAAAAGAAGGTGAAGGAACAAATAAAAGGAAGGATAGAGATGATAAAGGTGATAATGATAGAGTTGTACTATATAAATAAAGAAAAAAAAATAAAAAAAGAAGTCCCCCTTCCAAGTCCACAAGATGCAATGAAGTGGCTCAAAACCACCACCGCAGCAACATCCAAATCAGCAACTCCAGCAACCCCCAAATCAGCAACCCCAGCAACCACCAAAGCAGCAACCCCAGCAACCACCAAAGCAGCAACCCCAGCAACCACCAAAGCAGCAACCCCAGCCACAGAAAAACTATTACTAATCGAATTAACAACACCAGTGTCTAGCCCAAGAAGGCCAGAAACACCCATAGGTGAAGTTATCAAAACAAAAAGCAATTACAAGTTTATAATATCGAAGATATAGAAGGTGAGAGTGAAGGTGAGAATGAAAGCAAAGGTGAAGGAAAAGGTGAAGGAGAAGATGAAGGTAAAGGAAAAGATGAAGGTGAAGGTGAAGATGAAGGTGAAGGTGAAGGTGAAGGTGAAAGTGAAGGTGAAAGTGAAGGTGAAGGTGAGGATAAAGGTGCAGGTAAAAACAAAAAGGATCAAGGGAAAAGAAAAAGGTGAAGGAAAAAGAGTAAAGCGAAAAAAAAAGGCGAGAAAAAGGCGATAACTAAAATATTGTTATATTTTATTGTTTGTTAAAAATCGGAATATAAGCTTATATCATAAATATCTATAGATAAATATTAGATTTAATATAAAATCAGAATAAAAAATATAAATATCGGCTACGATATATTAAAACAGTAAATATTAAATTGATACAAAACAATAAAGATAATATTATATAAATCGGTAAATATCATTACAATATCAATAATAATCAGAGTTTATCATAATAAATCTTCAAAATATCATAATAGAAACAGTTA